ACTTATCCCCTTTAAATCGGTAATACATGGTGGATATCTGGCATGTTGATAAACTTTTAAACTAGTAAAGTAAGCAATTACTCAGTTACTAACAAAACTATTTAGAATAAGAGGCAGTGGCTTAACTTTCGGTCACTATAATGTCCCAGATCCGAATCCAATCACATTTACTTCCGTTATGACAGCCGCACAGCATAACCATATATATAGGTAAATAAATAGATAGATTTTTAGAAATCTTATCGGTTCGTGATTATGAACAGTTTAACATAACTATTACAAATATCCTATGCTACCTAGGATACAGTACAACTGATTGTTAAAGTGACAATTTTGCAACTAAATCAGAACTTTATTTATTTATTTAATCACATATATATTTGTACAAAGGGCACCGGATACATATGCGCCACACAAAATAATGAGAATGGGAGGAGAAGGAAGAAGATGTGTATATATAAAAGAAGGAAAAAAAGAAAAGGAGAAGAGTAATGATGGGGGGAACTTGGTTTCAAGATTTGTGCTGTAACTAAGATACAGAAAATGTGTATTCGATAAGTAGTAAACTGATATAGAATTGTGTATGTGATGTACGTATGGTTTAGCCTCATTTCTTATTTAACCTTACACAAACTTCAGTGTTTATAACAAAATTCTGTCCAATATTGTTACTGTGAGCACAAAGGACCTGCTTGCTTTGATATTTGAAGGTGTGATATCTTAAGGAATCCAAGACTAAGATAAAACATGTTCATTGGTCACTGAATTGAAGTCGATGCGTGAGACATGTTACGTAATGATGAAAAATATCTAAATTTAGAAAACATTAAATCGTTAAATCAACTATACCTACATAACTAAGAAAAAATGTTTCTCATTTAAAAAGTACATGTTCATGTACTCAGTTGTCTAAAACGGATTACATTGAGCGAGGTTCGAATACGGTACATATTAGTCAAAAGCAAATCAATAAGACTATTTATCGAACATGATTACTTATTTATTTTGGTCGTGGAGCTTTCATTGTCCTTCTGAACGACATCATTAGCACAAAATTTGGGTAGAAGTGAAGTGTTGCTCTACAACCAAACCATCCAGCTCAGAGAATAAACCTACATCAAAATCACCCACCTGAGCTATAAATCTTCTTCATCATCTCAAAATGATTACCTATGCATACACCAATGACTGTAAATGTTTATGTCTAAGAGGGCAGGTGCCTAAACTACTACAGATAAGCAGAAATGATGTGTCAAGATTGGTAAATGAAAAATATAAATCATGTATTTTTATACTCAGGTAAGTATCTGATATACTTAAAACGAATGTTTGTTTCTATGAAGTACTATCTATTATAAACTGTATGTAAACAAATACGGTTGATTTTGTGCAAAATGTTACTTCAGGATTGGGTTGTATTGACACCCTCACTAATGATAGGGAGTGAAGTAAATGAGCGTGTTGACCACTTCACTTATCTTGGGATTCTCATCAGCCCTTGTAGTCTAGTGTTTGACGAAGTTTCAGCACGGATACAGATGACTCGTCTAGCTTTTGCCAACTTGCGTCATTTATGGCGTAGGTGAGATATCCGTCTAGCAACAAAAGGACGGGTTTTTCTGTGCAACAGTTAGTTCCGTCCTACTTTATGGCAGTGAAACATGGCCGATAACAGTAGAGGATATTCGTAGGCTGCTAGTATTTGATCATAGATGTCTTCGAAGCATTGCTCGTATATCCTGGAACCACCGAGCAAGTAATGCAGTTATTAGGAAACCGGTACTAGGTGAGGATGGCAAATCGATTGATGAAGTAGTGAAACTTGATCAGTTGAGATGGCTGGGGCACATGTATTACGTATGCCCAACCACCGACTGCCATGACGTGAGATGTTTTATGGTGTAGGAGTAGGTTGGAAGAAAGATAGGGGTGGCCAGACCAAAACGTGCCATAAATCCATGAAGTCAGTGACAATTGAACTGAGCCATGTTGGTAGGTGTAGACTACCTGGTTGGGAACCGAGAGATGATAACAATCGATGGTTAGAGACCTTGAATGACATGGCTCAAAATCGTTTGCAATGGCGATGGTGTATCCACTCTTTGTGTTCTCTCCAAATTCTAATCTTCTTAATTCTTCATGTCCCTTTCGTTTTTCTCTTTCCAAATTTATTTCACTGGATTATACTCCTTGAATAACATCTTCAAACCCTAATCTTTCGGATTACTGGTTATAATCTTACTCGTCCTACCACTATGGAATTTGAATCGACAACTGCATCTCTGTGTTAATGTGGTATGGCAACTCTAACCGATGTACGTATGTACGTACGAAGTTCTACGTTGTGACTGACTGACTGATCTTGTCTTAAGGAAAAAATCGATATGAGATCACAACTATACAAAGACAACAAAAGTATATTATAAGTTGAAACTGTCAAAGTTTCCTGTCAAGGGGATTTAATACAGGTTAACTACTTGAATACCGTCAAAATCATTTTCCGTACATGGAATAGATACAGAAGAAATTACAACTGACATATGTTTAATAAATCAACATACAAAAAGTTGTCATGCTTATGATAACTATAAGCAATAACATGCACCCATTTGACTTTTCAGACCTACCTAGTACTAAGATTTGAGTCGAAGCTTCCAAACCAATACACCGTATTTATCTCTAATCATTGATTATTGGTATTAGACAAGTATTCTTTTGATACTTAACTCAGTCAGTCAGTCTGTCACAACCTAGAACTTTGTATGTACGTACATCAGTTCGAGTTGCTTTACCACATTAGCACAGAGATGAAGTTGTCGATTCAAATCCCATAGTGGTAGAACGAGTATGAGTATAGGCAGTAATCCGAAAGATTAGGGGTTAAGGATTTTATTCAAGGAGTATAATACAGTGAAATCAATTTGAAAAGAAAAAAAGAGAGAGACATGAAGAATTCAGAGAATTAGAATTTGGTAGAATACAAAGAGTGGATGCACCTTCATCATAGCAAACGATTTTGAGCCATGTCATTCAAGGTCCCTCCCTTAATGGTAAGCATGATAATATGGGAATTAACGAATAACCAACTCCATCGTACAGTACTACTTTAAACGCCGTCAAACAAATGTGACGAGGTTTAAAAAAAATTGAAATACACTAAAGGAATCCAAATTGATGATCACTTTTTATTCAAATAATCTCTCTTGTGTATAGTAGTAAAACTGTCAAATGTAAAACGACGAGGAAAAACCTAGATCCTCAGTTAACTTCACATCTCTTGATAATACGGAGAAACAACTCGAAATACATCTTTAATGAATAATCAATACAAACGATTCTCTTTATCTTTTGTATTAACAACCTCCCTTCACTAGCTAATCCATATATATATTCAATCTTCAATAGGAAATTTAGTGATAACACTATACAAAAACAAACTAGTCTAACAACTAATGCGCATAGGTACATCTGACTGTGTCTCTGAGAGTACAGTATATTAGGAAAGTAATAAACTAATAATAAGGGAAAAGCTTGAGCACAACCGATAAAGCATAGAAATTTATGCAGTTATATACTGTTGGTGATGAGTTTTTTTTAGAATAGACACTAGAGTACTTTCAACTATTATTCCATGAATTATTTTATTTATTATTTAAACACATACATATTGGTACAAAGGGGCACCAGATACATACGCGCCACACAGAACAATGAAAATGGGAAGAGAAAGGGGGAGGGTGCGTATATATAGAAGAAAAAAAATAGGAAGAGCAAAAAGGAGTAGTGATGGGGGAACTGAAATGTACAACCAGAAGACTCTTTCAGTTAAGAAAGTTAGAACCACTCTTTATGAGGAAAGTAAAAGGTTACAGCAGGTTCGCCATTGGCTTCCATTCTGAGCCATATCTGATAACGTCTCTAGCCACTGTGTTGCACCATCTCTCGGACCCCAACCAAGGAGTCGTGAAGGACCAACAGAAGCCAGCCCTTTGCAGCTCTCTTTCATGCCACGACACCATGTCATACACTGACCTCCTCTCCGCTTTTTCCAACCAGTCCCAGGGTCGGCAAATAATGCACGACGCGGAAGTCTCTGGGACGAAATTCGTAAAACATGTCCAAGCCACCGAAGTCGGTGTTTCAAGATGGTGACAACAATTGAATTATCGTCTCTGCGCCAGAACACACGATGCCAAACCTCTGCATTACTAACATGGTGTTGCCACTGGATGTCAGCAATCCTTCGGAGACAACGATGATCGAACACAGAGACGTCTAACATCCTCAACTCGGAGAGGCCAGGTTTCGCAAGCATAGAGCAAAACTGCTCTCACCGACGCGTTGTAGATCCGACCTTTTACAGCCAAACTAGCATCACGAAGGCGCCAAAGATGGCCGTGATTGGCATAAGCCGCTCTGGCTTTCCTTATACGTGCATCAATCTCATCACTCACGCCACCACCAGCACTTATATAGCTACCTAGATACACGAACTTCTCAACTACTTCGATCTGCTCACCATCCAGGGTGAGTACAGGATTAGAATCCTGCCAGTCTTGTAGGAGTACTTTGCACTTCGGGGTGCAAAGCACATGCCGTACCTGCGGACACTGATTGCCAACTGATTAAGTGTGGATTGAATGCCTTGAGCATTATCGCACAGTAAGACAATATCATCCGCATACTCAAGGTCAAGAAGTCTTTCTCCAGGCAGCAGATCCACACCGCCATTACTTACATCCATCAGAGCTGTCTCCAGGATGTCGTCGATGGCAAAGTTGAAGAGGAATGGTGAGAGTGGGCAACCCTGCCTAACCCCATTGCTTGAATGGAACAAGGGAGAAAGGTGGTTGTATGCCCTCACTCTGCCTGAGGTGTTCGTATACAGGGCCTTCTATTAAACAACAAAATAAATCAATAACTATCATTTGTACATGATAAATCAGTTGCCGCAACGTGAATTAAAATGAATATATGAAAAATAAAGCATAAAAACGAACCTCATAGGATGTAAATCAAATAATGGAGGTTGTAGTTCAGCATATTCAATAGCAGTAATTCCTAATGCCCATACATCACATTTTTCATCATAACCACCTTTACGTTCAACAGCTGCAACTTCAGGGGCCATCCTGAAAAAAAACAAGGCAAACTAACAGTACACATGTTTACATAAGGGTTTTTACTTTGTTAATAGAGTAAAATGGAAATCAAAAAAATGTGACAAAAACGGGTTTTTCTTTAACCTTGTATCCATCGACTGTTTGGCTAACTTCTGCATAACGACGATTGACTTTATGACTAATCCGTTAGATTAGTCTGTGAGATCTTTTTTCCATTATTTAAGCACATCTTATTTAAAAAATAAAGATTATGTCTTGCAGAAGAATGGTAATCCCACAGTTGTATGCTTGAATATATTCATATAATGAATAAAGTAGTGTTTAACGTGAATGATCTCGATTTATGTTATGATGGGCAACGTCTTTAACAAAGTCCATTCGCTTGAAAAGAGGTAAGATTAAAAGCAGCAAACCCAAGGTCCGAAGTCGTACTGCTGACTGTACAGTAGTGTGACGGAAGTAAGGTGTTTCCTTCAGACAACCAGCATAACAGCAATGCTGCCTTCCCACAATGAGGGGTGGGGTTAGAAAAGGTCGACCCTAAAAATACACACCTCACCTTATCCCACGGATATCTGTCTCCGGCGGTAAGGTCCCACAACAAGTACGGAGCTAACACAAAAACTACATACAAAAATGTCGTGTGTGACCGTCCTCAAGCAGTTGTCCCTTGGGCATTGCGGTCACGCTCTCAGGTCATTAAGATCACTTCTAACCCAATTTCCTTTTCGGGTACGTCTAGAAGAACTCTTCCATGTTGTGGGCGACCGGGGAGTGATAACTGCCCTCATAACTCTAACAGCACTCAACACCACTGTTTATTTTTCTAAATATTTGTATGTAAGCATGTCTGTTACTAGGCAAAAGAAACCTATTCGACTAGACAGTTTTCATGTCTTTTGATATCAGTCCAATTGTGGATTTACTTTAATAAATCGGTCTCGTAAGATGCCAACATTTAGGTATGCAGTATTATTGTATTTTATATGTCGATAAGGCCTTTTCTTTAGTTTAACCAATCAAAAACTCACCAAATCAAACTCCGTAACAATTCATTATGAAAATGTACTTTCAGTATCGCATTTCAATAAATAACTTTCATTGAATCAATTTAACTCGTTACATTAGAGGTTGGTGTAAATCGTTCAATTTCTGTATAATACCTTGCATGACAATGGTTTTAAATGAATAACCACTTAAGGCTAGATAGTAATGGAGTTTTTTTCCACCCTAATATGGGGACATCCAACTATCAATGTGTGCAGAGCCTTTCCAAGTGTTAAGCCCAAGAATAGAAAACCTCAGGTAGCAGATTTACACTTCCAACTGTAGTAAATTTGTGATTTTATGGTAGATCGATTACATGACATACTGCATATTTACGTATCTTGCTTGCTTATCAATAAGACGTACCTAAAACGTCAAGAAAACTAATTTTGCCTCAGTAGTTTGAAAGCGATAGAGTAATGGTTCAGTGGTTAAAGCATCAGAGCTTGAAGTCACTAACTTCTAGACTGAGCCATGTTGGCAGATGCAGACTACCTGTTTGGGGTCCGCATGACTATCGTAACCAATGGTTGGAGACTATAAGTGACATAGCTCAGAATCGATCACAATATCCTTATATACAACCTATCTTTTATATACTACCACCACTAAATTAACTATCTCTATGAATCCGGTGTTCATCTCGTTGTGCTAACGAGGTATGGCGACTTGGACCGATGTATATATGTGCCTGGTTATACGTTGTAGCTAATTGACTGGTTAAAGCACTCGGCTTTCACTCATTAAAGGCGCAAATACAAACCCCACTGCACTCAATCCATTTTCAGCACCTGGGTAGTATCAATTGATAAATTTATTATATTAATTTGAGGGGTTAGCCAGAGGTTCAAGAATATAATTTAAGATATTCCAAGGTCAAGATCTATGTTGAGAGACTGAACATCTTTGCTAATACCGCTATGAAATTATTTTAAAATCCATTTTGTAACACTCCAAGAACATTTTGGTTAACACAGTTTGTTATGCTTTGAAGTGCACAAAGTAGAATAATTTGAGCAAGATAAACTGTGTTACGCTTAGTGAAATAGGATGATAAATCGGTGTAAACAATACGGTAGCTAAGCTACCTTTCATTTCTAATGTCACGTACATCTATACGACTACATAGATAAGGGATTTCTAAAATATAAATTATTTTTACCAGTGATTCTAGCAAACAGAATCGATTTTCAAATCGGATCTTATATGAAATAGAATTCAAATCACTGGCGGTCCCAATCACTGAATTACTTGTTCGAACCTCGACCACACTTCTGATCGTGGAACCAGTTAGTTTTACCGGATCGTATACATAATAAGTGTAATTCAAGGCCTAGTATTCTTACTTAGTTGCTGAGCTGCTTTAACATTCTATTTATCAATACTGTAATCTTCAAAACATACACTAAAGAACATGTAGAACTTGATTACTGGCAGCTTAAAGCATCAGATTTCGGTTATCCGAACAGAATCCGGAGCGTTTGGGACTACTATGCCAATCAAGTACCCTCTGTTCAGTAGTGAAAATAAATGGAAGTATTATTAAAAACTGGATTCCCTTAAGGCATCTGGGAATAGAAAACAACAGACGTAAAATCTAGTTCGAGTCAGTCAGTCAACTACAACGTAAGACCAGACACATATATGCATCGGTCCAAGTTGCACACCTCATTATCACAAGATGAACACCACATTTATAGAACTAGTTACTTCAATGGTAGTATTATATAAAAGAAAGATTGTACATAAGGATATAATACAGGGAGAAAGAAATAGTTCGAAGAAAGGCATGAAGCAATTTTAATCTCACGGTTTAAGGGAAGATAGAAAGTGTATACACATATGTCATTGTGACCGACTCTGCATAGTCTCCAACCATTGATTACGATAGGCATGCAGACCCCAACCAAGTAGTCTGTATCAACCAACATGGCTCAGACTAGAAGTTGGTGACTTCAAGCTCTGATGCCACGTTTTGATTTGGGCACCCCTAACTCTCTTCCAACCATCCCTAATATTAGTCAGCATAGCGTGTCGTGATAACCAATGTTTAAGCATACGTAACACGTGGCCCAACCATCTCAGTCGATAAAGATTCATGACCTCATCAACTTGTTTACCATCATTCCCTAATACCCTGTGTCTAACCTCACTATTACTTACCCGGTTATCCCAGAAGATGCGAGCAATATTTCTAAGGCGTATGTGGTCAAATACTAGTAACTTGCGAGTATCTTCTACTCTTAATGGCCACGTTTCACAGCCGTAAAGTAGAACAGAGCAAACTGCTGCGCAGTATACTCGTCCCTTAATTGATAGACGGATATCTCACCTTCGTCATAAGTGACGTAAGTTGGCAAAAACCAAACGAGCCTTTTGAATCTGTGCTGAGATTTTGTCCGACACTAACGCATTAGGACAGATCAGACTTACAAGATAAGTGAAGTTGTCGACGCAGACCAGTCCTGCAGTAACAATTTACATTTAGAGGGGGAGAAACACATTCCAAATATCCTGGCATTATTACTCAGTTCTAACAGAAGACTGCATTTTATCAGCGTCTTCACCAAACAGGACTATGTCATCTGCGTATTCTAAATCGATAAGTGGACCTCCTAGTAGGAGATCAATTACTGAAAACTCAATCGAAGAGTGTTATTTCCAGCAGTAGGTCTATGATGAAATTAAACAAAAATGAAGACAGTGGACAGCGTTGTTAGACACCACTTGAGGTTGTAAAATCAGACCTCTGGAACCAATCCATCTAGACCAGCTGCTCTTCCTCGTTTCACATTAGTTATAGCCTTTTGAGCTTCGGCTAGAGTTCCATTCAGACTGTTCGGGAATGATGGGTAACTGTAGAGTAGCAGAAGGCCAGCTAAACTGTCTTCTAAAGTTTTCCGCCCATCGTTCCAAACGTCTGGACTGAGATCAGATAAGTCTCATTTTTCCCGAGATCGTCTTCTTTCTTCTTGTTCCCGGTTTCTTTTATTATTCTGAAGAGTTGCCTGGTGTTGCCTACAGCCACTACTTTTTCCATCTCTTTTGCTTTCATCGCCCACCCCTGCTCACGATCGCTTCTTACACTTTTGGTTAACCTAAATCTGATTTGCTCTTGCTCTTCATCATGTTCAGAGCCTGATGGGATGAATTTACGCGAATCCATCAGTGAAATAGACTTGGAAGAAATCCATTGGTTTTTTGGAACCCTATGGTTTAAATTACTAATAGATGTGACTGCTGCCTCCACAGCTGTTCGTATGTCTTTCCAAGCAGCATCTGGATCAGTCTCGTTTACAGAGCTGCCTAGATAAGAACTCAGTTGTTCCTGGAATTTACATTTGGATTTCTCGTCCTCCAGTTCAATCCTAATGGGTCTTCTTAGTGTACTTTTCATGCGTCTAGTGAGGCGCAGAAAAAAAGGTGTTCGCATTGAAGCGTGATCAGAGTCTAAACAAGTATTCCAATACGAGTGACAATCTTCTATTGAGCCTTTCCAACGATGACTGGTGACAATATGGTCTATTTGAGTCCATCGTTGGTTTGGTGCAGGTGGTCGTCATGTTAGGCAATGTCTCTCCTTATGTTTAAAGTTAGTTTGCTAAACATAGACGAATGTCTGAGCATAGTTGCAACAGACGATCACCATTATCGGTTCGTTGAGCCAGAATACTAAAATACCCACCTAAATGTCTTTCTGTTTGGTTTAAGCTACCTAATCGGGCAATAGAGTCACCCGCTACAAGTACTATATCCGAGCGATGAGCTTTATGAAGTTCAGAGAGCTTTCTGGAAAAGTCCTCTTTCACTTTATCTGGGCTACAGTTAGTGGGAGCGTAGGCAGAAACGACGAAGAGGCAACGACGCGTGTGCATATCCTTCCAAGTTCTTACGAAGCCATTTAGCCGGACAGCACATACACGACTGTTAACAGGGATCCATTCTAATAGTGCTTGTTTTGCCCTCGTACTAAGTGCCATGCCTACACCTGCAAGTCCACGAGAACTAGCCATCGGGTCGCCAGATACACGGAGGGTGTATCTCGTCAACTCTCCATTTTAGCGGAGTGAGGTCAAGTGAATGAACACACTCGGATCCTGTATCTAGTTCGAGTAGCGATTTTATATTGTAAAGATTTAATATGATTGATTAGCCAGTCATAATCAATAGGGAATACATGGAGCAGTGTCTTGGCAGTTAAGACAATCAGTTTTTGTCTAGTGGGTTGCAGATTCTAGTCACCTCTAATTTCAGCACCCGGAGAGTATCACTAGCTCACACAAACAAAATGGCTACAAGAAAATGAGATCTGGAACATACGTTTATCGGCCCAATCCTGATTGCTAAACTAGCTACATGACAAATATATGAGCGAAATAAACACTCCAACTTTACTCTTTAGAAATATTCTCTTTATTATATCTCATGTAGCAAAGTGAGTTAACCAAGACTTACCAGTATGGTGTTCCAATGAAAGAGTTTCGACGCTGAATTGTCTGTGTGATTTGAGCTGCAACACCGAAATCGGCTGCAAGAAAATGAAGATAAACAAAACTTTTAAAACTACGAGACTTTGTTATCATCATAGATAAGTGTTACGTGTGACGAACTTCAAAAATAGTTCCCAACTAATTGGTACAAGTCGTTTCGAAAATAAGAACGATTTGGTCGGTTATTTTTGCGAATTAAAGGTGACTGTTGTTTTATACCACCCGATCGTCAGAAAAATAATCCACTGTCACTTGAATTCATTGACTCTCACGGAGGCTAGTGACCTTAGCGATTAAAGGTCAGAAAATGTTGTCGTGTTTAAATTGGAAACTTGGACCAAAATATTTAATTTTAACAAAAATAACAACTAAGTATATAAGATGAAAGATCTGACTGGGTAACTTACTGAAAACGTATTTCATTGCACCAACATCATAGTTGATATATAGTTACGTAAAAATAAGTTACATGAACAAGACAAAAATCTATGGGAGTTCTAAACTCAGTATTAGGTACTATTTCATATACTCATCCAAATGGCACAAAAAATGAGCCACACAACCGAATCGACCATGTTGTGAAAAAAGGTTTGTCGTAAGTCTTATAAGCATAAACGAACAGTATTAATTGTAAAACACAGGGACAATAGTCTCAGGTATCTAATTCCCTACTAAAACTAAATAATAACGAACAAAATCAGATATATTTTGTACATCATATACGGCTTTATAGAAGGGAAAAGACTACCTGGTTGGGGTCCGTGTGACTATTATAACCAATGGTTGGAAACTCTAGGTGACATGGCTCAGAATCGATCACAATGGTGTAGGTGTATACACTTTTTATGTTCCCTTAAACCTTGAGACCAAAATTGCTTCATATCTCTCTTCCTTCCTATACTATATCCTTATATACAACCTATCTTTTATATACTATCACCACTAAATTAACTATTTCTATGAAACCGGTGTTTATCTTGATGTGTCAACGAGGTATGGCAACTTGGACCGATGCATATATGTGCCTGGTCCTACGTTGTAGCTGACTGAGAAGGGAAAAGATGAAGCTCGTTATTCCTCAATGGTTTGAAACCGATGACTAAATACCAGATAATGTCTGATAAACAAACTATGGTCAGCCTAAGCGCTGTTTTTAAACTTTTTTTAAAAACCGAGCAATTTGTGCATCAAATGTGTACGATCTCCGAGTGGGAAAAAGTTATTATTTTATTAAGGTTGTGCTAAGCCATGAAACGTTGGAGATTCAAATTTCCGTTATTGGAACGTTACAAACATTAGTTTACTAATCAAATTTCTGAAACACGAACAGCATATACAGAGAATAAATGAACTTGCCAATTTTGACATCACCGTCAGTGGTTAGTAGAATATTCGCACCCTATAAATGTAAAATCGAATAAATATCACAGATTCATACTGTATATTATAAAAAAACTTTGCAAATCATAGGTTAAGTACATATATCATGAACATTCTAAGCAAATTATGATAGACGACTATTTAGGATACAATTATTCTGAGATCTCAGAAGCAGCAATCACAACCATGTTTTTCAGAACCAATGGAGAAATCCATAACCACTTGTGTTATCATTTATAGAGTCTGTAGGAATATTTATAGCTTTCTAAACCAACCACGACCAAGAGTGAAATACTCTTAATGCAATTACGAGTACTTAGGTATGGCAACGAATTATGATCACCAGTGGCTGCTGAGAAAAGTTGGGCTACTCTATGGTAGGTACACAACATTAATGCTATTAGATCGGTACGGTGAAGGGAATAAAATGTTTTACGAGGAGAGCTTGTGAAAAAAATTATCAGGTACAAAATGTTAAAATACTTGACATTAACAATAAGACGGTTTTGAAGTACTAAATACCTTAATGTCACGGTGTATTTTCCCTGCTTTATGCATGTATTCTATGCCTCGTAACGTTTCCCTGGATACAAAAGCTATGCAATTCTCCTCAATGGGCCTTTGGATATCTATATTTTCGTGTTATATCATGAATCAAGGTGCCTACTTGTGTAGATATCTTGCATAGAGAATCCTCCACAGAACTCCATACATATCCACAATTTATTGTTCCTAAATTCATTACAACGATGAATACTATACCTGAAATAGCTCCCGAAGAATTGTACGATGTTGCAGTGTCGGCATTCTCGGAGGGTTTGTATCTCCTGAAGTATAGCACGAACATCATCCTTAGCATCAACTTTAATTATTTTGACAGCAGCGAATTCCTTTGTCCTTAACCGAATGGCCTGAAAATAATGTATCACTTAACAGATGATACCTTGTAAACCTCACCGTAAGTACCAGTCCCAATGCTCTGGATCAATTTATATTCTTCCTTGGGATCTTTGTTGTTTACGAACTCTCTTATGTACCCTAACTTCTGCTCGCTAAGTTCTGATCTAACTGACATTTTGAAGAAACTCCATCACTGGCTTTCGCACCGCAAACAACCAAACAGACCGCTTTCACTCAAATGGTTCAAATGGTTGGGGAAGAAGCTTTCGCTTAACGGGCTTCCGTGTCTGGTAGCAGTGGATCACCAATACCTCCAGGCGAGAACCTAGATATATGAACGATAATAGAGGGGAAAAAAGAATTTGGTAAATCATAAAAATATGTTAGCCTTAGTCCTTAAGAATAAGTCAAGTTTCCTCTTAAAGGACTCCTGGGAGGTCGCTTGGACTAGCTCAGTCGGCAGCGAATTCCAGCACTTGACAACTCTAACGTAGTTGAAGTTGTGTCTGCTGTCTGTCCTGTTATGTAGGGTCTCCAATTTCTGGGTGTTACCTCTCAGGTTAGTGTTATGACTAAGCTCAAGAAGATGTTTAAGGGGATGACCAGAAGTATTAAGGATACTATAAGTCATAAGAAGATCACCTCTAAGACGACTGTACTCTAACGGGTACAGGTTAAGTGATTTGAGGCGCTCTTCATAAGGTTTGAATTTGAGTCCCTGAACGGATTTCGTGGCTCGACGTTGTATACGTTCCAGAGTGTCCTTATCGTTTTGGAGGGAGGGAGGGAGGAAATACTATGTTTCCGTACTCTAAGTGGGGACGAATAAAACTGTTAAAAATTATGTGGAAGGTTCTACCGTCAAACTGGCCAAAAATGCGCTTCAATGTTACCAGTGCAAGGTTTGCTTGAGAGGCGTTTTTGTCACAGTTCGCATACGATTTCAGGTCGTAGGGTACCAACACTCCTAAATCTTTTTCAACTTGGGAAACTTCTAGAGGAGAGTTACCTAAGTTATAACTATAGTCTGCACATATCTCAGATGGACTACCTTGCACTTTGAAGTGTTGAAGGTAAGTCCGTTGTCGTCTGCCCAACTTTGAAGTCGAGTCAGATCCTCCTGCAGAACTAGTATATCATTGTGCGTACGTATCTCCCTCCAAAGTTTCACATCATCAGCAAAAAGCAATAAATCAGATGAAACTTGTTGAGGAAGATCGTTAATATAAATCAAGAAGAGAAGAGGTCCTAGTATTGAACCCTGGGGGACCCCACTAGGACATTCCATAGCCTGAGAGAGAGTGAAGTTAACCCTGACCTTAAAGTGTCGGTTTTCTAAATATGAAGAGAGCCAATCAATCAAAGGAGTTTTTATACCCAATTGTCCAAGCTTCTTGATAAGACATGCGTGGTTGACCCTATCAAAAGCTTTGGAGAAGTCCAGGTAGATGAGGTCAACCTTCATAATATCCAAAATCGTATATCTTTGTCACGAGCTCCTATAAACTGTTTGACTTCTTTGTATTCTCTTCTTTATCTTCCAGTATGGCTCCATATATCCTATAATGTCTAACAGATGGCAATCTGAATACTCGACTGCTTTAATTATTGTTAAGTTGGTAGTTATTCTTGGGTTTATTTATCTTATATTTTGTATTTTTCTGAGAATAGTAGGTTCTCTAGATACCAGCGGCTATCACATTACCAGGTAGAAGGTTGTTTTGGAAATAATACACTGATAATTTGAGTGTCACGATAAGACCATTATTCAGGAATAAATAAGACATCGCTGGTCGACTCGAGAAAGTCAAGGCATGATTGGCTGCGTAGAATGTCCTGCAAATTACTTTCGTTAACCTATCTTTCAGAGTATCGCTAGCCACATTCCCGTTGAATTGTAGTTTCATGTATAAAGGTTTCTTTCAAACGGTCGAAATCCCAGACTTCTTTATTGTATCATATATGTACTTTTAAATTAACGCACTACGGTAGCCGATCTCGGTCAGAGAGTTATTGATAAATTCCAGATCCTGAATTAAAGTATCTACTGAACAGATCTTTTTTGCTCGACTAGTGAGGCATTTACCCAAATTTCTCTTGTATCGGGTAGGTGTAATGCTACAAAAATGAGTACATTGGCAGGCAGAAAAACATTTACTATACACACTACTTAACGAGCCATCACTTAGCCTGTTTAGTGTGAGATCAAGGAAATTCACTTTATTGTCACACTCGCCTTCAACAGTGTAATCAACCGCTGAATGTACACTGTTAAACTGCTCTGGGAGTTTAACCTTACTGATGTTCTGACCTACGACAATGATTGTGTCGTCGGTGTAGCGGCAGTATAGATCAAGCTTCCTAATGACCTCATCAAGTGGTCCGTTTTCTAGATTCTCTAAAAGGGGATCAACTAGAATCTGGCCTAGAGGTGATCCTATGGCTATCCCATCTACTTGTCCATAATAGGTATTGTTGAAGACAAAATCGACCTTCATCGTTTATCTTGAGAGTAGTTCCTTCAGACAATCTTCAGGCAAACCAATGTTGATTTGTTTTTTTGATATTTACTTGCATATAAACCCAACCAGAAATGCATTTCTCTGTAGTGCCCATTTCCAGTATTGACAGATGGAAAGCGCCTCAAAGACTGTAAATCTGGCGTCAACTTTTAGCACTCAAACATAGTAACGGTAGTTTTGTTGACACCTTGTATATCATCAGGAGAAATTTTCCAACTCACTTTGACTTTATTCTCTATGTGATGAGAAATGCAGCACCCGTATTCAATGAAACCTTCAAGCCTGAATTTCAATGTCAGGCAAAAAGCGAACCATTGTTAAGCACGTATCATTAGACGTGGTGGGCTGTGAAAGAGACTTTGCTTTTGATAATTCTTGAAGGCCTATTTAAGTCGTACACATGATTGGCTGCATTCGGATGATTTGGTATCACACTTGCGCTGACTATTCGTGACCTCCTCTGTGACCTGAACTTTTAATGTCTTTGTGACTTGCTCTTGTTTCTATGATAATTTGCACTTACACAACAGTCTATGTAGTGCATTTATTGATCGAAATGAATTCTGCTGTGAACTAGACATTTCATGATTCTCCTTTTAGAGTATGATTTGTTGTGCGCAATGTTATTGCGAGATTATTATCCATTATTCTAAACTCGACTAAATAATTTAAAGGAGTGTCTAGGTCTTGGGTAATGAAGGTGTGTTGGACAAAGCGTATTGAACTTGTTTTCAGTAATGTTTCCGGATTTCTTTCAACACGACGTTGTTGTCTACCAAAACTTGAATGTAATGTACGAGCTGCATATATGAATTCATCATACAATGGTGCTCCATACTGCATATTGTTGGAAGTTTTGTTTTCAAACATACACATATATTGCAACTTTCAATTTACAATTATATAAGAGATAGGACCCACCTTAAAAAGAATTAAATAGGAAACAGAGCGATAACATTTTGACATTACCGAGATGTTTTTGTAGAATTCTCAATCACCTGACCTAAGACATTACGGTAGTCCGAATATTGTGATGATTTGCCCAGCTAGATGGTCAAATGAAGATAATTGTTCGTTCATTCGTGTCAACTCATCAATATACTGATTAAACACTTATCAATGTTCGATGCTTCGGTTGCCACAAATGTAGCCGGTAACGGCCAAGTTCCCTGAAGTTGATTATGCAACTATCTATGTTATATTTGTGTATACCAGGGACCATTTGTACTGCTTTAGTGTTTATGTTAATTATTAATTTATTTGTACGTAGCTCCGCACTTATTACAAATTTATAATACAATACAGTGAGTTGAGTTTGTCCAAACCTGCTTTTTTTTATTCGAACTGTTTTGAGACATTCTCTGTCAGGATATCAAGTTGATTTTATTGAAGCACTGCATCGGAATCCTTATAAAAACCATCTTCTGACAGTCAGATATACAATGAATTGCACATTCTTCTCAGTAGTACGTGTAAACTTTTCATGTAAAAAAATATGATCAGTAAAGATGTTGAAGATGATAAAACCGCTTCTTGTCTACTTACATTTATCGAGAAAAATATTTGCATCTTTTCATTGTCAGATAAACTAACTTCACCTTCTTCGGAAGTCTTCAAAGGTCTTGCAACAAATTGCGTAAACTAAGAAATCATCAAGTGATGTGTGAGGGGTGAAGTTTCACATGCGTCAAATAGTTCACTTAATTGATTTCGTGCTCAGTCATATTGGTGATCGCATAATTAACAATAATCTTAGCTTCCATGGCAAGAGATGACGCGACTTGACAAAGAATCGCAAACAGGTTGATAAGAAGTCCGATAGGTGTTTATCCTACGGTAAAGTGCGATTACACGATTCATGTGTAGTTGTTTATTCTAAACGCTTTAAGTAACAAAATCGAGCAAACTAAGTTGTCTTGTAAAATCGTGTTCATTTTGCAACTGATAGTGAATCCCGTAGTCCTCTGAAGGTTGATGATTTCATTGATTACATTTTATCATTATAAATAATAAAGACACATACTCTGCATTTTTGAAAGTGACCATGTAGCAAATTTGTTCGTTTATTGTGTACACATATAGCATATAGTTCGTCATTTAACCGTAAATCTCAAACGTTGAATCCAGATACCTGCTTACTAGATCAACTGTTGATTTTTCTAACTGTTACTGTTTTTTGAACTTAATTTCCAGATGAATAGTCCGTGGTTGTCAATGACACGTTACCTGTGTGTATTGGTAAAGTTCCTGTTCAGTAAGTTTAACCAGAAATCTATGTTTCACTCTGAGTTACTACTTCTCTACAAGGTTATTTGCAAATTCAGTCACACTGTAGCCGGTTTTTCATCCATCCAATGAAACCACAGATACTTATTTAAGAAAGGCAAACGTAGCTGTTTCACCATGAACACTCGCACAAGTTAAGACAATTCACTTATTTCTGTATCACAATTCACAATGTTTGCTGAGACCAGGCATGCGTTGGTAAATCTAGACACAAAGTATATTTTACGATGAAGAATTTCATGAACTACGCGTTTAGAACAGCTCCATGATGCAAGGAAATTCGAAAACCGTAATGTGATCACAAAAATGTAGACCCTCTAAGAGTGTCTGCACTCAAAATCCATTCGTTCGTACATTCAATAAACTCTCCGATCTACAATATACCACACACTGGATTATGCCTTGAGAGCATATGGCCATAATCGCTTGCTTACAGTTCCATAACACAAGCTTCGCACCTAAATCAATCAGGCTAAACCTCATCTAAATCTCTAGCATCCACAGCCCATTTCTGGTTACATCTAATTTTTTTATATGTTGATTACCGTCTAATGCATTAATTTACTTGATCTTGCACTACTGAGCCGATGAGAACTCACATCATAAAGAATCAAATTATGGTCATTGTCATCATTCATTGTAATCAAACGATTAGTAAATAGATGTTGGAAAGTCACCCACCAATTAAGTGCCCGCCTTTGACAGTCTCCTCCCTGTTCACATTGTACACCTCGTTTCATGCAAGCTTTTATCAGGTCATTTTCAAATTATTACGAAGTTGTTTATACAATTCGGTAAGTTGGTTTAAACGTAGTCGAAAGTAAAACTAAAATTTTAGAAATCCACTAAACAAACAGAGGCATATTCATTATATTTTAAAATCTGGTCTGGTTTGTTACTGAAAATTGATCAATAGATCTACTCATACCATAGGGCTTCAATGACGAAAACCGGATCCCTTTCTATGTAACAAAGCTTTGCAACCAGCAGTCTAGGTTCAATAATAAAATGCTGCTCTCGACTGCTTATTCAGACTCATATGTCGTTCTATGAACTACGATTTACTGTAAATCAGCCCACAATTTGAACAAAATGAATTCATGGAATACAACATAATTTATGTGGAAGAAAATCGACGCAATCACTTCAAAACTGTTCTTCACAATTTCGAGACGAATTCACAGACCTCACTTTGGGTGAGAGCGTACACGCCTATCAATAATCCTTCCACCACATTTTTCGGCCAATGAGCAAACTATCGATTATTTTAAGAGAAAACACATTTTCGAAATCATTACTATTGTGTCGCAGGATCCTGGTAGATTCGATTTAGTTGAAGTTCGCTTCAGTTCACTTTGCTCGAAATCTGCCCAGTCGACGAATCCATAGCTAATTTTTGACCATCTGATGATAAATCATCGTTTTGAAAATTTTACAATGGTTTCGAGGAGATGTGAAATAAAGTAAATAACATTTAAAACTCGAGTGCTTCATTTGCTGTCTGATAGGATAAGACAGACAAATATGAGCTCGTCGGAATTACTGTTTAGATCCAATTAACACATTTCTAATGAACATTGTGTTGGATAGAATAATCGCACCATAACAATCTATGTCTCAGATCTTAGTCACTGAATTATTGGAACGCCTTTCGTCTAACGTTTTGCAAAATGTTAACTCACTTCTACGTCCCGTCTATGTATGTATGTGTCAGAAACACCTAAACTATAAAAGGAAGTCAATACTTCTCCGTCTATTCATCCGTAAGGATTTTGATAGTCTTGAAGGCAATTTCATAGTGTTTTTATAGTACTCATAATTGTTTACTACAGCATCATTAAACAGTAATCATGTGTACGGTCTGCTACATTTGTGCATTCTTTGAAGCTCCCTTATTAGTGCGATAAGTCTTTGGATTTTTAATAGACCAAAACATGTCCTTGGTTCATTAGGAGCACAATTGAGTTTTACAAGTGACCAACTTGTGCTCTCTCTCTATCAATTACGTTTTATCAAATAGTTCATTTCTGAGTGTTATGGAGCTTGGTGTTTTACGTATAGTGACTGTGTGTTAATATCGACAAGATATAATGAAGTGAGAAATTTCTTGTTATCGTATCAACACATTCACAATTTCAGATAGTTCGTGACATTGAAACTGATGATCGACCATGAAAGAGATGGTGAATAATGTAAATAATGTCAATAATGTAAACTAACTTCAACAAAAGTGTTCAACTACAATATTCACGTTTCGACATCTTAGAACGATTCCCTGATATGACATTTCACGAATTTATCATCACTTCGTCCATGGACATCCATAGAATTGGATTATGGGTAAGGCAAACTGAAATTATCGCTGCCGAGTCTTCCTGGTTGAATGAATATTACTCGGATCGGCAGATGAATAGCAGAAAAGAGAAAGTTGAAATAGTATTCAACCATGTCAAGTCAACAAGCTGAATCGTCCAATGTTCTCAAGTTAGTCGGTGATCATCCTAGATCCGTTTTTATTTGTTTTTCGAGCAACTTTCATCGACTAATCATCATTTGACTATCATTCAACAAATACCGAGATATCTATTCTTTCGGATGTAATCTTGGACTATAAACAATGGTTATCGGTTCTCCAGCCAATCAGTGTGAAACTCTCAAATACTCCTCTACATCACAGAACACATCGTGACACACATTACTAGTAGTATTATGTTTGACATTAACGAAAATCATTATTATGACAAAATATTGTTGTATAACAGAAATGAAGTTGACTAATCTAATTTTATTTATATCAAATGAAAACATTATGTTGAAACAATAAGTAAATGTACGACGTCAGAGTTTGCTTTCAAGAAAGGAACGACGATCCTGAGTGTTTGTCACGCATTCAGACAGCACCAACACCTTTGACCTCTGAAACAAGAAATAATGATATATCATTAGTGATACAATGACCAACAGTAATGGATTGGATAAGTTGGAGAATGATTTCTGGATACATAATAACGAGTTAACACATTAATCATCAGGTAGTTTTACATTTCTCATAAGGAGTTATGTAAGTAAGTCAATAAATGAAGAAAATCATGGATGAACATTGGGGGAAAGTGAGTATAGGCGGAACCTATACTGCGAATAGATATTCAGTAAAACATAAAAGTGATCGAGAGAAAAGCCTGAAGTAAAGCATAACATGTTACAGACAAACAAAAAACAGGCAAAATATAATCAGAAAAGGTAAATTGCAATTCGAGCGCTTGATAAAAACTACATAAAAGAGACCCTGGAATAACACACAAGAAAATTCCTACGTGAAACACTGACACGTGCACTTCAGAAATACGAAGAAACGCGCACAAACAAAAATGAAAAGGTCAAGGGTTAGAACTTACACCACATTTGTCGTTCTCGACGATCACCTACATAACCTATGTATTAACAGAAGAACGAAACATGGTGAGCATCTCAGCAAACAAGTAAAAATAAATAGAAAAATTAAAATGCCATTGCATGATTGACATTTTTATTCGAAACAGAAAGTAAGGTGCAGATGC